AGGGGCAATTAGCGAAGGGTCATAAAGTCCTTCACAGACCAAACAAAAATGAATTACAGCTTGCCAAAACTTTAATCTTTTAAGGCCTGATGTATTTTTTTTTTTAACTTTTTATTTTGAATTGAAAGTTTACAGTGCAGATCATTAGTTTTACATTCAATGATTCATACTTGTTTTATCTCAATGACTGCAGTCCATTCTATGTAACAACAGTAATTCCATTTCCTCCATCTAAACATGTTCTTCATTATTCTAAAAACCCAAACCAGTTGCTGCGGAGTTGATTTTGACTCATAGCAATATCATGTATGTTAGAAAAAACTTACACATTCACTTTAGATTCGTTTTTGCCAAAGAGTACAATACATAAAATTTGTAGATTAGGAGAGAATTGACATTATTACAGTATTAAGTCATCTCCTTAACTTTGTATGCTTCTCTATTTCTCTGATTTGCTCAGAAGCATTTTAGATAAAATACAAAACTTAGATATTTTGCATTTCATTTAACATATTTTCATGCAATTGAGTGTGGGGTTTTTAGAGAGGAGGATCCAAGACGGCAGACTAGACAGATACACTATCTAGACTGTTTACAACAGAAACTCTAGAAACCAGTGAAATAGATATGGATGACAATCCTGGAACCCGAGCTTCAAAGGAAAGTGTATGAAACTGATCAAATACCAATGAGAAGAAGAACAAAAAAGTACAAAAACCAAATAATCAGCTCCACTCAGCCAAGACTACACCAGTACCCACATCAGTAAACAGCAAACAGTCGGAAGTCAGTGAGCCAATCCAGCCATCCCCACTAGACCTGCCACCCACCCACCCACTGGGCAAGTACCATCACCCATTCCAGCACTGCTGGATTGAAGAGAGATGGTGGCCAACATCTGCCTAGCCCCGCAGCTGCTCTGCAGGACCAGTGATAAGAAACTCGTGTCCTGTACACTGCATCTACCCAGGACATGTAGTGAGTGCCCAAGTGCTGCCAGATATGCTATCAGAGTAGCATGCTTACCCAGTTTCAGAGGCACATTAAAAACAAAAAATTAAAGTGATAATTTTGATCTACTGAATATTGTTGATCTTTAGGAAATCTACTGATGTTAGTATAACTCTTTATCTGGCCGTCTCTTATCAGCTCGAACATGCATAGGTACTTGATTTTTTTTTATCAGAGTCTT